TTTGATATAAAATATTCCAAACTCAACTGCAGTGTTGGAGTCATTTTTTTTTCCCCAATGAGCTCTGATTTATTTGATGGAAAACGTCGATGGGACCAGCAGTTAGCATAATGGCTATGTCGCTGGACTCCCATGTAGTCCACCGCGGTTTGAGTTCCGGACCTGGTGGCTTAAACTCATACCGGGCGCGTGTGCGTGCGTGCCCAAGATCCAGAGAGGAGAATGGAGGAGAAGGGATTGCGGTGTGGCCATCTCCCCTGGGGGGTGATTTCTCACTTACTGTCTCTATGTCTCTCTCTGTCTTTCTGGCGAACGCACATGCCCTATAGAAAAAAACCTCTCAAAAAACCCACAAAAAAACAAAAAACATTGAGAAGCCGGGGCCGGGAGGATCTGGCAGGGCGCTACTCCTAGCACTGCACGTCTCTGCTCCAGCCCCTCTTGGGGACAGAGCCATAGGATTCTTTCTTCCCTCAGACAGGTGTCCATGTACATTTACCATGTCTGTGTATTCTGGTGTCGGTCTCCATGTACACACTGAAAACCAAGAATGCACACCAGCACCACCAGTTCTAGTCCCACACTCCAGGGATCGTTCTGCTTCCTCCCTCCCCACGGGCATAGCTACCTTCTCAGTGCGTGGCAATCCTGGCCTCCGTCATCCTCGGTCTGTTTACTTATTCGCTTAGTCTCCACGTTCTGGGACTCATCTCTCATCTCCAGGGCTCCCTCTGGCCCACACGCATGTCCTCTTCACCCTGCTTGGGCTCTGACACCCCACCGTGCTGTGACTGTCGTTAGCTAATATCCTTTTCTGGAATACCACGGCTCCCAGTACTACAGACACCTTTTCACTCTGCCCCAAATAATGACCTTTGGACTGAATTGTGAAGATAGAGAAGGTGAGAGGAAGACAGGACTTTTATCCCTCACCTTTTAAGAAATTGTTTCCCCCTTTTCAATTATAGAATTTCACAAATCATACATACAATTTTTTTCACATCATTCTTTGTTATCATTTTAAATAATAGCTTTATATAAGTTATTTATGATGACATATACCCTTTAGTGTACATAAATTGGAATTTTTAATATATTCACAAAGTTGGGCAACTATCAACACTATTCAATTACAGAACTTTTTTTTTTTTTTGGAGAGGTTTTTGCTATAGGGCACGTGCACTCGCCAGAAAGACAGAGAGAGACAGAGAGACAGAAAGCGAGAAATCACCCCCTGGGGGGGATGGCCACACCACAATCCCTTCTCCTCCATTCTCCTCTCGGGATCTTGGGCACGCACGCACACATGCCTGGTGTGAGTTTAAGCCACCGGGTCCGGGACGCGAACCACGGTCGACTACGTGGGAGTCCAGCGACATAGCCATTACGCTAACTGCTGGCCCCCAATTCCAGAACATTTTCATCATTCCAAAAAAAGACCCTGTATTCACTAGCAGTTATGCCCCACTCCTCATTCTGCTAGGACCTGGAAACCACAAAGTGACTTTCTGTCCCATAGACTGAACATTTCTTCTAATGGAATCGTACAATATGTGGCCCTTTTTGTTTGACTTCTTCCACTTAGTGTGGTGTTTTCAAACTTCACCAGCGAGTCAGTACTTCATTCCCTTTTATGGCACAGCAATAGTCCGCTGTCAGCACGTTTGAGCTTTGTGAACAATGCTACTGGACATTCACATACACAGTTTTTGTATAGATGTATGTTTGTAGTCTTTTCTCATATTCTTTTTTAATAGAATTATTTGTTATTATATTTTAATTTGACCAGAGAGAGAGAGAGAGAAAGAGCAAGACAAAGGGAAGGTGAGAAAGAAAGCTGACAGGTCGGGGACTCGAACTGTGGTTGGCCACATGGGAGTCCAGTGTCTTAACCACCACACCACCTGTCGGCCCCCGAAGTTTGCAGTGTTCCCGGATATATCCTAGGAGTGGAATTGCCCTGTCGTATGGCAATGTTTTCTTGCTTTTAAACAACATTTGTCTTTATAAACATTGCATAAGCTTGATTTAACCACATGGAGAGGTAGAATATTATTTCCTGCTATATGTCCTTATAGACTTGATCTAACATTAATTTAAAAATTTGACAATCTTCTCAAGCTTATCAGCTATGCAGGAAGAGAAAAAGTACAGAAAATATGAAATGCGTATCTGATTTTAAAAGCTGCATCTGTTTTTTTTTGAGGTTTTTGCTATAGGGTGCATGCACTCACCAGAAAGACAGAGACAGACAGAGAGACAGAAAGCGAGAAATCACCCCCGGGGGGATGGCCACTCCATAATCCCTTCTCCTCCATTCTCCTCTCGGGATCTTGGGCACGCATGCACACGTGCCCGGTGTGAGGTTAAGCCACTGGGTCCAGTACTCGAACTGCGGTTGGCCACATGGAAGTCCAGTGACATAGCCATTATGCCAACTGCTGGTCCCAAAAGCTGCATCTGTTTTTAAAAGAAGTTGCTGAGAACTAGAGAACTTTAAAGACTGTTTTGAAAAAAACATGTCTTGGTTGTCCATCTGGAACGATAAGCATGCTTGTTTAGAGCCTTGCACTCGTGTGATCCATGCGTCAATCAAGGGGTCAGGGCAGAGTGTTTTCAGGAGGCCTCGGTCATTGGGGATGAGGATGGGGCTTCCCTTCTCAGACTTCACAGGGTCTGTGACTTGGCAGGTTGGTTTTAGGACTAACCCATGTGGTGAGACAGCCATTTTTTCTCAGTGGTTAGTTACATTGTATCTGGAAACTTTAAAAAACTTGGGAACGATTTCATGGGAATTTCCCCTTAAAATTAGAAAGACACTTTCTGGTTATGGTCTGAACTCGTTTTAGCACTTGGGGCAAGAGGGATGAGGAAGCGATTGTTGTGTGGATCTGTCTCATCCCTTAGTTTCCATAAAGAGTGATGTTCATTTTGTGTTTTATTCAACCTGGCTTCAGTCTCTGAATATTAATGCAACTATATTTAAAGCAGTTAAGTCGGTGAATAGATTCCAGAAAGGGAAAACGAAGTTCTGTCTGGTCCCAGTGGTTGTGTCAGGTTGAAGTCTGCTTTGGAGGCCCTTACTGACATCATATATACTGATTTAAAGAACTATGTTCCCCGAGTCCCACTCTAAGAACTTTTGAGTCATCTATGGATGGCTGTGATTCTCAAGCATTTTTGCCAGAATCACAGATACTGACAAGGCAAATGCTAGCAGAGCCTCTCTTTTTAGCTAGGGTCTTTGGTTGTCTAAGGGACGCAGGTCTAGAGACCACTCATTGCAAGAACTTGTCTGCCGCGTTAGAATTGCTGTTGGCCCATAGGTAACAATGTGAAATGTGACGAAGGCTGGAATCATCTGACGGACTTTTTCTCTGTGGGTAGGGTGGTTAGTGTGGTGGCATGAATTTGGGCTCTGGATTCTCAGAGATCTCTGGCACTTAACGGCCACTTGGGGAGGTCAGACCTCTGGGAAACGTACAAATGACACTACCTGAAGGTGTGGAAAACACAGGTGCTGTGCCCTCCTACTGAGCTTGAGCTCCGGAGATGGAAGTTTCTTCCCTTCGTGTTTATCCTACTGCTACCCAGCCATGAGGACATCTGCTATTCAGCGGATTCGATCTGTTCTTGCCCTCCTCCTGCAAGAGTAAGGAAATGCCCAAGTGCTTCCTCAGCATTACTTCTGCTAACAATGCGTCATGAGACGTAGAAGTCATGGGTGTCCTTTCCACCCTACAAGCCACGTCCCCCTTCTCAGTTCCTAGTCACACATTCTAAATGGGAAAGGGAAATGTATCCTTTGGGGGATGCTGAGATAACCACAGCTTTGAGGCCAGCATTTTCTGAGCTAAGTAAATATCAAATTTGATTGTGCAGACTTGGGAGCCATTCAGCTGTATGGGAAATTGTACTTGGTGTGTTCATATGGAGCATAATGAAATATTTTTTACTGATTATAGGTTTATTTAAATTTAGATTCATAATGATTTTGGGGGAAGTAATTGTTTTTTATTTGACTTATTTAGAAATAATTTCAAACCTCTAGAAAATTTTCAAGAATAGGAATAATACGAAAATCACCCAGATGGTACAAAGAATCCCTATATAGTCTTCATTTATATTTTCCTTTTGTGAACATTTTACTTCGTTTGCTCCTCCTGGATCTCCCACATATGTGTTATTGTATGTGTGGATATGTGTATGCAAACAATACACATAACTATACTATGTACATATAATATTTAAAAAGTTTGGAGAGGAAGTTGTTTATATCATGGTTCTTTACCCCTAAATATCCCAGTATATATTTTCTACAAATAAGAGCTATTCTCTTACATAACCACAGTCCATTTATCAACTTCAGTAAATTAAACATTGAGATAATTCTTTTATTTAATCTGCATCCATACTGACCCACTAGACCCAGTAGTATCCTTTATAGAATTTTTAATTAAAAAGGACATTTCTGCCTTAAAACTACATGAATGTACTGAAAATTCAGACGACACTTTAGTGTAAAGTTGTGCTACGGCCCAGCTTCTGATACCTTAGGTCATCAGGAAAATCATGACTTATTTTTCTACGCAAAAATGCACCATGGCTTTCCCAATGACCCGATAGATTACATCTTATATCTTAGAGCTTACTTCTGCAATTTTTATTTCATGCTTTAGATAGTTTTCATATTTAGCTAGATTTAGGTTTTAGGTAATTTTGTTGTAATAGCAACTGCTTCTACTTGTTCTGCTGGGGATGAATGTGCCCTCAGATACGCGAGTTAAGTAGTGTGAACATGAAATAGAATGGCCATGCCATTGACAGCCGTCTGTATCAGGTCATGAGAGCTGTGACTCCTGTGAACATTTAATAGAACAGCCATGTCACTGATAGCCATCTGCCTTAGATCACAAAGCTGTGACTTAGACCCTCCTGCCCTGCCTGTTACTTGGGTCCTAATTCTCTGTCTTGCTGTCATTCTTCTTGTTTGAGTGTAGATCCCTCTCACCAGCTCTGGAACCGTACCCTACCTTGAATTCCTCTCGAGGTTTGGCGGAATTGACCTTAATATAAATGTTATAAAGAGGTAAGTGTTTTGTTTGGTCATATAAAAATGTTAAATTTGAGGTGCTAGCAGGTGGTATTGGAGGATAAGGTGGCTGGATCTCATAAGACCAACTGTGCAGTTCAAGTCCTGGGCCCAAAGGCTTAAAACATACACCAGGAGCATGTGCATGCTGAATCCTGAGAGGAAAATGAAGAAGGGATCGTGGCATGGCCATCCCTCCGGGTAGTGATTTCTCACTTTCCTTCTGTTTGTCTCTTTCTCTGGCGAGTGCACACAGCTTTAGCAAACTCAAAGTTTTTAAAAAAGTGTGAAATTTGAAATGATGAGTAAGGGCTATTACTCAAGGCTTTTAAGAACTAATCATACCTATAACTATATATTTGGAAGATGAAGTGCTTGCCCATATAGAATTGAATTAATCAATCTTCAGTCAAGAAGTTTTTAGAAATTTATTTCTCCAGAGAGAGAAAGGTAGAGACTTCCAGCAGTTCTCAAACCACAATTCACCCTCAGCCAGCCTGGTTTATGGGCACGTGTACATGTGCCCGGTGTGTGCAGGGAGGCCTCAGGGATCCACCAGGGACTGTCCATGTGTGTCCAGGGTCAAAGAGCCTCATGTTACTGCTGTGCCACCAGCTGGTCTCCCTCAGTCAAAATTTAGTTTAGAGAAGACTCTAACACCTATATAGGTTATATTTTAGAATAAGAGAAGTGATGCTGTACTAAATTGAAAATATAGCAAGTTTAATATGCATACATGCAATATAAATAAAATATACATGCAATATATTTTAGATTTGGAGATAATGGATTTTTATTTTTGAAATAAAAGCATTAAGATTAAAATTAAAAATTTATTGGATTTTGTACATATTTTAGTGTTTTGTTGAAAAGTGATTATATTTTGATGGTTAGAAATGAAATGATAAAAAGAGATCTTCTATAAGCTTCTTCATTTTTCATAATTTTAGCATGGGGATCATTTGCTTTATTTGCAAAATGAGGGGTTGGAGTATGACCTTTAATGTCTCTCAGCAGTAAAGTCCTTTGAGCCTGGCATATGCTTTAGGAAATACTGTTTTAGTAACAAAAATTGTTTACTCATTATCTGCTTCTGAATGAATAAACCTCGTTTTCTCAGGCACTGAGTAAACAATTATAGGACTTAAATTTAATCTTGAAATATTAGCGAATTCTGTTACAGCTTTCGTGATTGAATCTATCACAGATGCAGCTTAGGTGTAAGAAGTAGTGCTCCGGGAGAAGGGAGAAGTGGGAGCTGATGTTCAGTAGGCATAGGGTTTCAATTTTGAAAGATGCAAAAATATGTAGAGGTCTTTTGCATAATAATGTAAATACAGTTAACACTACTGAACTGTGCACTGAAGAATGATTAAGGTGATAAGTTTCGTGTCGTGTGTGTGTTTGATCACAATTAAAGAAAAAGAATTAGCGTGGCAGCTCCAGCAAAAGTGACAAAGAACTATCCCCTGCATGGTCTGAAACTTCTTTGTAACCCTGTTCAGTTCACACTCAGGCTAAGAGGTGGACTAAGATAATTCCCAGGCTCATTCAAAAGAATGACTGACTGTTTCATAGACTGCATATTCATGCTTTTGACGAATCTCATTTGTGGAATAAGATTGTTGGGTGGACAGAAACCTAATTTGAATATTCTTTATTGGAGAAGCTAAACAACTGGGAAAACTGAAAGCAGGAAAATGTTTTTTTCTTATCGTGAAACCTCAGTTTAATGATTAGAGACGAAAAGGTTCATGTTACTTGCTTAAACATACAGGATTGGATATTTAAACCAAATTTGAAAGCATCCTGATTTATCACAAAGGCCGAATTCTCTTTATTGTCAAGACAATACACTGTAGAGAACAGAGACTTCTCTTTCTATTAATGTGGTGGACTGTGTACCATAAACAACACCTCCACTGAAAACAAAATACTGGGTAAAAGATCAGATAAAGACATAGCTTCTAACACTTTACTGAGCTGTCAGGAAAGTAGGGAACTTCAGAGGACAAACATAAAGTGAAAATTAGAATCCAGACAAGGAAGCATTCTGCAAAGCCATCTTTTGCCCTGAGAGCACAGGCTAAATTCTGGTGAACTTGCGTGTTGTTTTGTTGGCCATTTAGAGTAGGTGGCCTGCCTAAGGAGGAAGAATCTAATGGAAGACCATTGCATATGAATTTGGGATACTACATTTTCATGTAAGGATAAATGATAGATATAAACCTGTATCACAGAAGGGTACAAAGAGAAACCTACTGTTTTAACATTGGTGTTGAGTGAATCGGGGGAAAATTGTAATCACTAGTTGATTTTCTTGCAGGTCAGCACCTAAATTTTCAGACCTATGGTCTGAAAAGTTTCTGGCTAGAAATTTATTTAAAATAGTTCTGGACAGGATGTGTCCTTCTGTAGAGACATGTATCTTCATCCAAATTCTTAAAGAATCCCCACAAAGTGCCAGGTAACATCACATCACACACACAAACAGTTAAAACATGAAGACACAAAGAACAGGGACTACAAACCAATAGGTACACTATCTAATAGAATCAGACCTCCAAATACTTGAAATGTTGTAATTGTCAGATATATGATTTTATTAATGTTTTAATATATTTAATATATTTGAATCCAAATATATTAAATATATTCAAAATCTGCATACAAAGCGAGAGTAATAAAATGCAGATTTTAAGATGTACAAAATGGAAGTTTTACTATAAAAATATGTAATTATAGTTATAAAATTCAGTGGATGGGTGAAAATAGTGGATTAAACACAGCTAAAAAGAGCGCTTATGGTATGAACGCTAGAACTAAAGAAGTTATCCAGAATGCAGCACCAAAAGACAAAGATATACATAATATGAAAATATGGAGGACAGGTAAAAGAGACACAGAGTGCAGGAAGATCTAATATAGTTGTAACTGGATTCTAGAAAGATCCCTGACTTACTTTTTTCTGCTGCTATAACAGAATACCTGAGACTAGGTATCTTGTAAACACAGAAATTTATTTCTCACAATTTTAGAGGTTAGGAAGTCCAAGATCAGATGCTTGGGCCTTCTTACTGTATGTTCATATGGCAGAAGGCAACAGAGCACCAATTCCCTGCATCAAGCCCCCACCTCAACCCCTGCCAGCCTGTTCCCAAGAGGGGAACTAAAATAAATATAGACAATGCAAAATTAAAAATGGTTAATAAGATACAGCATGGAGCCAAGAGGATGGTGTAAGCACACATTGAATATAAAAACCTTTCCTGAGTGGCTAAAAAAGTGCACCACAGAGTGGGCTGGGAGCCTCATGGGGTTCAGAAGAAAGTGTAGCAACAGAGGGGTGAGAAGCTGGGTTTGAGCAGGCTGCCTGGGTCTTACCCTGGCACTTCTTTCCTCACATGAGACTTTCATTCACCTTGTCTAAGAAGACCCCGAGTCTCCGCCTCCATGAGGTCCCTATCCTTACAGCTGTTCAGAGGAATCTTGTTAAGACTTGGTGTATTGTAGGTGTCTTTAAGGGTCAGGTATAATTGCTTAGTTTTCACACTATGCCAGTAATGAGAAGTGTTATATTTCAAATTACAGATGAATAAATGGAGGCCTGGAGAAGCTTAGTAATTCACCCAAGTTCACATTTCTGGCGGATGATAGCACATAAGAAATACCTTGACTTCATAATAGATTATTTAGAAATCCTTATAATAATTTTGATCTCTGCATGTCCTACACAAACATTTTGTTTAAAATAATTATTATTTTTTTCCCCAGAGGGAGCATGTACTTGCTGGGGGTGAGAGAGAAAGAGAGAGAGAGAGAGAGAGAGAGAGAATCCCCCATCGGGGATGGCCACTTCACAATCCCTTCTCCATTTCTCCTTCCTGTTGGGATTTTCATCACGTGTGCACAGCATGTTCCTGAAGCCCCTGAGACTGGAACCCAAATCTGATCCAGCTGCCTTAACACCACGCCACAGGCTGGCCCTGGTTATAGCATTTTAACAAAGGTCTTTCATTTTTATTTTGAAGGGGAGGTGAGAATGAAATGAATTGCTGCCGGCCATTAAAAGAACTTGAAGTCCAAGTAGGAGAAAAGGTACTAAAGGTCTCTGGAAGTGAAAGCTCATTTTCGGGCTCCCTTGACTGCCTCGGGTGGCATCTCTTCTGATGAATGCCATCAGCAGACATCTTCGGATGTTAATTACTTGTGTTAGCTTTAGATCATTACCCGTAGAGGCCCCTTTTCTGTTCCCATGTAAGACTGAGCAGGTTTTTCTTTAGGAAGAGGAAGCGGCTGCTTTGGGCAGTGTTGCTCAAGAGCCGTGTGGTAAACAGAGCCAGAGTCAAAGTGCTCCCCAAGGCCTTTAGGAAGTTCATGGAAAATGCATGTTACAAAAAAAACTGTGCTTGGATTCTACGATGTTTTTACACCAAGAACTCGTACTTTAATCCTATTTCCCATGAATTTTTTGAAGTCCTCATATATATGCATTGAGTAATTTAGCCACAGAAACGACTACATGTGTTTCAAAGAAGGGCAGTTAGCTTCATTCCTGTTTGCTGATGCTGGTTAAATCTCATGGCACACAGCTAAGAAGATAATGTCATTCTGGGGTTGGAATCGGACTCCTTTTTAAAATGCATTTGAGTCTGTCAGTTACATGAACAGTTTGAGAATCATGGTTTAATTTACTTGATTCAATATGTTGGTTTGAAATGTGACACATTTTCTTTCTTTTTTGAACTCTTTGAGACTTTCATACATTTGAAAATCAAAAATAGCCAGAGATCTACAGAATGTTTGTCTCGTTTTTCTGGCTGATAGCATTAACACTAGAAAATTCATCTCAGTATGATAGTTTTTAGCATTATTTGTTTCTAAAACCCTGTTTCACTATAGCTGATACTAGCAGGAACCTTGGTATAATTGTCTTCTTTTCCTGTTGTGGTTCATTTACTATTTTATAAGAAATATATAATACGATGGATGTTATTTATGCTATATGTTTTTTACTTGTCAATTCATAAACTGTGTTAACCGTGAAATCCTCCTGGGAAAGCTAACTCTTTAGAACAGTTACCATAGTAGCACAGGTAACATTACGGATCAATAATGCAATCCTACAGTCAGTGTGGAGTGTGTGGACAGGGGCTGGAATAGTGGCTACCAAAACTGAGACGTGGTAAGCAGATTTAAAAGGGAACTGCTCTCCACCCTCTCCTTTAATTTCCTCTTTATTACAATCCCCTTCCCATGGAAGCCTTCCCCGCTGAGTAAGAGTGAGTGTAAACCAATGCAGTCTTCATCTAACTTTCTGTGAAAACAGAAAAGGTGAAGGGACAAGGCCGAGGAGCAGATGATGGGGACAGCACTGGATCCCTGTTGGCGCCAGCGTGTCCTCACGTGTTCTAGCCAGCACGGCTATAAGGACCTAGCTGCAGCCCATGTTCTCCCTGTGTCCCCAACCCTCCTGGGGAGGTAGATGGGGTGGGACGAGACTGATCTCAGGACCCAGTCTGCCCTGGGTTTCAATCTTGGGTCTCTGCCATTTGCCAGCCAGGTGGCCTTAGACAAGACCTTGTCATTAAGTTTCTTTATCTGTCAGAGGGGCTAGCAACACCTCCCTTAGAGTGCTGTCATGTGGCTTAAAAATATCCAGTTGGAACACCTGGAACACAGTGAATGCCGCCTGTTATGATCATGCTTCTTCCGGAGCTTCCTTTGAAGGATGGGTAGGAACGCAGATGAATGTCACCCCTCTTCCAGCTCTTCCACCCCAAATAAGTAGAACAAACCAAATACACTCCTCAGCAGTTCGCTGTGAGCACAGTTCCGGGTAAGACTCTGCCCCTGCAGATTGGTACGCACTACTGTTGGCCGTGAGCAGAACACCTCGGGATGTTACAGGAGGCTCTCCTCACGTGTGTTGTCATTCCGAGTGAGGGGTAAGTTTGGGACTGGAAGAATGTGAATTACTTCAGTTTAAATATAAGTCCACCCGGCTACTGGAGCCAAGAATGCAGAATTTTAATTTTGATTTAAAAATCTCTGAATTTTTGGATTTCACTAATGCGTGTATGGACTAGACTTCCTAAACCAACAAATAATTAGCAGTTACAACCCCAAACAGACCAAAGGCCGGTGCTTATATTTCTCAGTTGTTTTTTCCTGCAGGGAGCTGGGTCTGCTGGCTGGTTTTGCAGCCTCTCGATTCATAGGCACTCAGACCGTGCAGCATATGTTCACGTCCGTGCTCCTTATCCCCTCAAGCCCTCGGACTCTCTTGGCCTCATTTCTTCTATCAGGCAACGAAGAAGGGCAGGCTGGCTGATCTCCAGGTCGTGCCGCTCTGTCTTCGGTGACAGTGCCTCACGGTGACATGTGCAGAGGTGCTGCCGTTCCCACGAGGCCCAGAATTTGGGGAGGAGGAGCTCTGTAAGCTCAGGGGTTGTCAGCATCCCCTCTCAGCTCCTGCTCCTGGTTCCAGTTCAGGTCTGCACTCAGGACAGAGAGGAGTCTTTTTGTTCACCATTGCTGTGGGAGTGAATGGAGACTTTTGCTCTAACCTCAAGTGCTCTTTCTGTCCCGTCAGCATCTACTTCACATGGGCATTGGGGGTTTTCTTCTCTTTCCTCTGGTGTCTTGCCCTCTCACCTCCTCCTCACTTCCTCTGTCTTTTGTGCATCTTGCCTGCCCAGTAGGGCCTAGCTCCATCCTGATAGGCCGAGATCTAAGACAGGTTCTTCATATCCTGTAGGGAGAGACTCTGCCAGGAGTTAGAGGGGCTGAAGCAGAGCTCCCAGCACGGCCAGCTGAGACGTTTAGGCCCTTTAACTCTCTTGTACCACTTGTCAGCTCACCCCGTGAGGCCCAGACCGCAGTGAAAGAGTAGGCTAATGAAGAGAGGTCCATGGGGTGCCGGAGGTGGGTGTCCACAAGAACACAGCGTACGCTGAGATAGCCATGAGTTCTCCCACCCCAAAACTGTTCCTTACTGAAGACAGGAATTCAAACATGCATAATTTAGTTAAAAAGAAAGAAAAGATAGGCCATTTATGGTTGCACTGTGTTACTACACAAGTCAGAGGTGTTCTCAAAAGGAACAGGTTCAGAAGCTTGAGCGTCACGATGTCAGAGCCCCTGGCCGACCTCTCAGCTGTGGCAAGTGTGTCTGCTGGACATTGCGTGATCCAGCACACGTTTTTGTGGGATTGCCCTGGGGCCTTGGAGCTGTACGGATGCCGCCTTAGTCATTGCAGGGCCCCTGTGGGATAATCACAGGCACTCACCTGGCTCTGTACTGGCCACGTGAAGAAGAGACCAAAGCGATGGGGAAACCAGTTTTCTTAAACAGGTGTATTTTCTCAAAAAAGAAAGTTAAAAAAAAAAAAATTACTGCCAGAGGAATAAACAGTTGTCGAATCACAACCATTCCACAAACATACCTTAACATCCGAACGCCACATTAGCATGAAGGAATGTACTGGAATGCAGTGTTTGCCTAATAAAAAGACTGTCGGGCTCAAAACGAGGCCATTTGCTAAAACATACAGCTTTTGGTTAATTCCTAATATTCGCCGAATTCTGCTTTCATCAGCTCTACTTGGCGCACTTGCTCTTAATTGCCTATTGTAGCAGGTACGGAGCACCTCTCCCCTTTCATCTGAAGGAAATATTAGCATATCGCAGAGCTGTTGGGACAGATTGTATCTGAGGCGCTGCCTCCTCCCCACAGAAAAGCCTATCAATCATAACTGAATGTAGTGATTAATAATGTCACAGCTTTTATTCCTGCATCTACGCGCAACTAAATGAAGAGTAGCACTTACATTTTGATCTAGAGAATCTCACACTACAAAATAGTCAGTTGCCATTTTATAAAAAATTGTATTGAAAATACTTCTACCCGGGACCTATTTTTGCTTGCTCTATTATTAATTTACTAAAGGCTTCATGAGGAAACAACAGTGATTCTGTTATATCAGCATTTGTAATTATTGTAGACCAGTTTATCTTTTCTTAAAATGTACCATCTTCCTGCATGTGGCAGATTCATAGTACACACGCAGGGCTGTAGGGTGGCTGTTTGAAGCTGCGCCGTGTAGGGCAGGGTCTGCAGCTCCTGGCCGTGGTTAGCCCGAGTGTGCATGTGAGCACCGGCGAGCCCCTCGGCCAGCTGCTCTCTGCGCCTGTGCTCATGTGTGCAGTGCGGAAATAACACTGCAAGGTTCCCCACTGTCTATGGGAGTCTCTGTACGAACAATAAACAGCCAGCTCACCATCATGCTGGGCCCATAGAAGTTACTAAAAAAATGAGAAGAGTGTACTTTTGGGGGACATGGAACCTGTGAGTGCTCACATGGCAAGTTCAACGTTGGTATGAGGCCACCTTTGGTTTAATTTATTTTATTCGTAGTCCCTGCTGGGGCCCCAGACCCGTCTGTGTCTCAGGGCAAAACATAACCTCTGATTGTTCTCCCAGTGCACCCTCAAACCTCCTCTCTTGTCTTCCCCTGCTTTAATGAAGTGTCCCATCTTGCTCTGTTTATGCAAGGAGTAACTGAGGACCAGCCTCGAGCCCTCTCTTTTCCTTCCGAGGGGCCCTCCCATGTCCAGTGGAACAGCCAGTTCTGTCCACGATGCCCTCGATTAGATTCCAGCCCAGCCACTTCCACCTGTCCCTCTGCCAGTGTTCACGGCCTGAGCCAGCGACATCTCTGGCCTGTGCTCTCAGCGACCCCTCAGCTGGGTTTCCTGCTCCGTCTTGTACCTTGCCATCTGTGTTCCACGTGACAGCCAGAGTCACCTGTTGGGAACACCAGTCAGACCTCAGACCCTCTGGTGAAGGCGTCCCCTGGCTTTGGGCTGTGCACCCCGTACCTTCAGTAAACGCCTGGCCTACAGAGCTCTGCGTGGGAGTGCTCTAGAGGTGGTTTTCTTGGACTATGCTGTCTAGAATTGTGTGTTTTCTGTAACTTAGAACACTGAAATTTCACTTGCATGTTGTCTGTGACTACAGTACGTGCTCTGTGGGAGAGGGTGCCTTCTCAGTCTTGCTCACTGCTGTAACAGAGTCTGAAACAGCTCTGGCACCT